TACTTATCATTTCCCCACCCCCCTTTTTCATATGTCTATTATTTTTCTTTGTTTTATTCTTCGTTATGTATATATATATATATATTGAATTAAAAAATTTCAATTTCACACATTGAAGTTCTCAAATAAATATTTACACGAAAAAGAAACAAAAACACTTCAAAGATTAGGTGATAAGGATAAGATTAGGTAACAGTGAGAAAAACGAGATAAAGGTATCAAAAGCATTTTCGTGACACGCGCAAGTATTTTAGCAAGCACTTTTCCGATGCATTGTTTAATCCGGCATTCAAACAGGGTTTGTGAATTTCAGTTCTGCTTTTCAACGAAAAGATTTGTTTGATTTCGATTTAGTAATTGCTTTTTCCTCCTCTATACATTAATTAAGATTTAAAAGTGTATATTGTAGCCCATAATACGATAAACTATATTTGAAAAAATTGTTTCGATATCATTTGTATTAAAAAGTTTGATTATGACTTTAAGTAAAATTAACTTACCTGAACCATAGTTATCATATTCGTAATATTGAGCTGCAAAAAAAAGATTTTATTATTACCTTTTTTAACTCAATTATACATCTAGTATAAATCTAATATACAATTATACATAGAATATCAATTGTATATACTAAATTTAAAGAATATTATTGTAATTTTACCCCATGAAGATTGCATAGAAATTTCAATGGGTCATTTCACGCTTAAGACTTCTTAATCCATTAAGTAAAAATTAAATTCTGAACCTCAATTATTCTAAAACTTAATAACTTAATAGGAATGGATAACAATAAAAAAGAATGCTGCCAAAAGCTCTTAAACTAATATAAAAAGCTATATTACAATTAGGAATGAAACTTAACACTACAATAGAATAATTAATCAGTGAGGAAGAAAAATTGCATGTATGATTTTCAGTCAAAAGACGAGAAGCTAAGTTTTTAATTTTATTTTTAAGCTTAAAATATAATGTTTTTAATGTTTATCCTGATTTCATTTTAATTTAATTCTCAATTCTGAATATAAATAATCTATTAAATAAGCATAAGTGTAACTTATCTTCCCTTTTGAAGAAAAACTATCGCACATTTGCCCTTTATTAAATTAAAATTCATAAAACCTGCCTCATGTTGGCCTGATCCCTGAATCTTTGATCCATCTCATACACACAGATCCCTCTTCACTCCGAATTTTAGGAGCTCTATCATTGTTATCCATCTTACTCTATTTGTTGTTAGAAGTTTTGTCCCCTTCTTTGACTTGTCGATTGCTTTAAATTCATATATTCTATTTACCATCTGAGATATTTTATTCCTGTGAAATCAGGGGAAACTAACGAATTTGATTAGATAGAATTTAAATTTTTGTCCTGAGTTAGTGGTCATTTCTGAGATAATTTAGCAATTAAGTAATTATTAGTAATTTAAAACAAAAGATTCCATTGTTGGTAGAAACGAAAAATGGAGCATGGCTATCACATTTTGGTATTATGGCTGAACAGTGGGTAAGCACATCCTAAGACGTCGTCTCTATGCAGTTGGATTGTGTGCACGGGTTCCTATTTAAAAACTCTTATCCGAACAGAGAATAGGATGATCTCATTGAAATTTGCATGGACAAGGGAGGATGCATTGGAGCACAAAGAGTGGACAACTAAAGATTGAAAAAAGGTCCTTTGGTGTGATGAACCTAAATTCGATCCGGTTGGAAATAATGGCCGACGTTTTATTTTTCGTCCAAAAGGCACCAAACTCCTCGGTGCCAACTAACAACAGTGAAACACGGAAACGGATTAGTAATTGTTTGAGGAGCTAACCATCATAATAGTGTCATTCCCTCTTACACATCGATGGTACTATGGATCAATATGTTTATAAAAACAATTTAGATGTTCGTGTGCTACCTTATGCTCATAAAATGATGCCTCCAGTATTTTTCGCTTTTATTTTATAACCATCGTTGAACAGCCGATCCAATTTTATGGGTTTACGACTACTAATGTTCAACTCCGTTGCCTTGTAATTTTGAACCCAATCCAGAATACAAGGAAACTCCTGTATCGAGTATTGGGAGAAATTCGCCTTCGTGGCGGACTTTCTGATGGAGCTAACCCGCATTTGCGTTACATGGAGAGGAAGACCACGAGAACCTTCCCTGGTTAGCCTGACGGCAAGGAGACTCTAACCCATGATCCGTCTACCACTGAGGATATTTCACGTCAGCACTGTGGTCGATGCAAGCCGGATGCGGAATTCGTATCGACTGGGATTCGAACCCGGTTCGCCTTATTAGAAGGCGAACGCTCTATCCCCTGAGCCATCGCGACTCATGACTCGAGTATGGATATTTTAGCAGAATAAAGATCCTAAATACACCTCCGAAATTGGGACAAGTTGGTTTACTAAGAAAGTTAAAACTTTGAACTGGCCGAGTCAATCACCTGACCTGAATCCAATAGAGCACCTTTGGTAATTTCATCAAGAGAAAAGTCGAGGCACGGTAGCGTTCTTCTAAGGCAGAAAACCATCAGGATCACCAATCGAAATGGGCGAAAATCCGTAAGTCTATTTAGAAAGCCTATTTAGTCATTAGTATTAGCCTAGAAAGTCGTTAGTCCCATTCATAGAAGTCATCAAAGCGAAACGATATGCAACGAAACACTAAAACTTTTCAATATTTTTTCTCCTTCAGATTATTAATTTCAATAAAAGTTTAGAAAACTGAATCTTCTCAATTGAATTGAATTGAATTTCATTTCAATTTTTCAAATTCTCGTTTCGAGTTGGTTAAATTAAAAAATTTTAACTCTATTCTTAATTGCTCTCCATGTAGGATGACTAAAGTTAAAAATTACTAATTTAAATCATTAACAAATTTTGCTGACGAAAAAAGAAAGAACAGCAAAACATACAGTCTTAAAACTAATGCTCCCTACTGTGTGTAATAAAAAAAACTAATCTTACCATTACAGCACAAACTAACTACAGCGATGACAGAAAGAAAAATTAACAAATTCATTTTCTTGTCCTAACCCTACTTCATTCGACAGAAATTGAATAAAATGGCGTTTAACGAGGCTGCTTTAAAATATACCAGCCAAGCAAAATTTTATTTTTAAAGCCATTAACATTAAGTTTTGAAACTGGTCTAAATTAAAATCAAGTAAATTTAGCATGCAAGACGACAGCTGGTTATACAGAAAGACAGAAATTGGATTTTTACAGTATTTGTTTTACTCATCTCCTTTAATAACGAAACAGCTATTCATAGTAAAAGCAATTTACAAAATTAAAGTAAGTCTCTAGAGGATTTATAAATTTCGCAATTCCTCCCCAAAAATTATTTTAATTGTAGTTTTCAAATTCAGTACAGTTCCAGAAATAAAATATTATTTTTAAAAATCCAATCTCTCTATTAAACTTTTCAGCTTTTCTACGCACAATTATTAAGGAATCTTATTTTGGGAAAATATGCGAGTTTTCGAATGAAGCTTTTTTAACTTTGAATTGTTTGACTTAATTATTGTTCTCTGCAAATATTGTTTTTCGAATTTATTTTTCGCTGCACAATCATAAAAAGTTATCAAAATAGAAAATTATTTTCCTTGTGGTTGAGAACAGAAAAGAAAACAATAAGAAAAGGAATATAAAATAAATAATTTACTCTTTTCTAAGCTTTTTTTTCGTAGGGGATGTAAGAATGCATATTTATATTTTAATAATATATATTTGTTTTTCATTAATAATGCTTTTAAAATACATATTCTGCAACATTATAAAATATCGTAATTATATATTAGTTGAAATAGGTTTTTAATTAAATGAAATTAGCTTCTGGATGAGTTTTTTTCGTGGTTAACGTTTATTAGAAATTTAAAAAAATATTTTTGTTTCTATTAAAATATATTCCATTTAAAACTACATACTTTGTTTATCTTACGAATAGTAAGGACAAAAATTTAAGAAAAAATAATTANTCTTCATTAATAATGTTTTTAAAATATATATTCTGCAACATTATAAAATATCGTAATTATATATTAGTTGGAATAGGTTTTTAATTAAATGAAATTAGCTTCTGGATGAGTTTTTTTCGCGGTTAACGTTTATTAGAAATTTAAAAAAATATTTTTGTTTCTATTAAAATATATTCTATTTAAAACTACATACTTTGTTTATCTTACGAATAGTAAGGACAAAAATTTAAGAAAAAATAATTATCAGACAATTTTAGAGTACCAGTAAATGAAAATTTTGATCAAAAATGTGTAGCATTTTTTTCATGTCAGGCTGTACGAATACATACTAATTTTTAATTTTATAATTTCTGTTTTACACATTGTTTTCAACCTTTTAAACATTATGATTAACATTTGATTAAACTGCCAAGTAAGAAGGGATTTTTGAGGATATTTGTTTGCATGAACAGACACGTTATTAGAAAATAAATAAAATTAATTCAATTAACATTTAAAGCATAGATTCTCAACCTTTTTAACGTTGCCGCCCCCTTAAGGAGCAAAAAACATTTCAACCCCTCCCCCCCTTTGTGAAAATTCAGTTATTTAGAGTATTGTGACGGAGTGAGNCGACATTGTTGGTGGCAGCAAAATACAAACGATGAAATAAAATCAACTATTTCTCCTAATTAATAAATAATTTACGGTAAAGAACTAATTCGCACACATACCTGGCCAAATAAAATGAGATCAAATCAAAACTGTGAAAAAAACTGTAAGGAAGGTAACGGAAATCATCATAAGAGACACGGGTCAAATCAAATATTCATACCAAAAGCTCATGCACTTCGCGAAGTAGCTTGAATAAATCAGAGGCAAAAACTACTAACTCATGCGCTACGCTGTGTTGGTTCGGATCGGAGAATAGGTGTCATATAAGTTCGTTTTATTGGTGATACGAAAGGAGTATCGGATAACCTTAATTTATTATATTAGTTTTTTCTTTAACGTTAATTTTAGATTAATTTTATTTATTAAATTAATTTAATTTAATAATTTTATTTGTAAGCAAAATTAAATTTAAATTTGAATGACAAAATTAAATTAAATTAAAATTAAATTTGAATGACAAAACATGCTCATCGCCCCCCTACCGCCCAAAACATACCCAACGCCCCCCTACTGCCAAAACAAGTTCACCGCCCCTCAGTATACTCCCAACGCCCCCAGGGGGGCGGTATCGCCCCCGTTGAGAAACAATGATTTAAAGCAACAATCTCTCTTTGCACAATGGGCAGCAAGGGCAGTCTCTCACCGAAAATCTGTTAGTTATATACAAATGTACTCTTCAAGCCAGGTACTTCTTTCTTTGGAATTCATAACAAATGAGTTTTTCATGGTGTATAATTGTTCGCCTATAATTGTAAACCTAAATCCGAACTTGGAGAATCAGGGTATTTCGTTCAGTCGGGTATCTCCCCTCTGACTAGCCCGGCTTGAGTTACATTGCCAGTAGCTTAGCTACCACAGTCACAGCTCTCGAAATCAACGACCCAAGGCAAAAAATCATGATGGTTTTCGATTGATGGATCAACATAAACGTAATGGTAAAAATCGTGATTTTCCATCAGAAACCATCATACAGCCTATGGGACTACCAACTGTCAAAGATCCTAAGTTTAGAATTCTCACCTTTTCGTGTTGAGCTAACATTGCATACCCATCATAGTATGATGGATTTTTTATAATGGACCTACAAAAAAAATCCTTCATGATCCAACATAATTTACCAGTTGCCACTACAATTTCCATCACAAACCATCATGCCTTTTGTTGGAACCATCAAGACTGCCAAACACCCCAATATTGAAATCGGTCAGCTGTAAGTCTGGTCAATCACTCTTTCTTCTCTTGGGATTTACTGATCGAGCTTTTCCCACTTCAAATAGTGGATCTTACGTTTACAAGGTGCGTTACCAAATGATGGTCATTTTATCTGATCGCCGAAGCAAGTGAAGTGAGTGTTGACTACCACATCATCACACCTACATCATCTATGCTCTCCCAAGTCACAAATCTTGACGATCCCATCAAAACATTTTGATGGTTTTTGTTGGTTTCAGTAGAATCCATGGTCCAACATCATTTGATGGTCACCATCATCATAAATTTTTCATTATGCATTCATGGTTTTTTATATGCCAACAAACTTCCATTATTCCATGATGGGAAATGCTACGTTAATACTATGATGGTTAACCATCAAGAAAAGTTTGATTCGCGTGAACCAACAATCTATGATGATCCGTGAGGGTCCATGAGGGTTCCAACTATACATTTCCATGATTAGAATTCTTGTTGGTTCTCAGGAATATACCATCAAAACAATTTGGGCTTTTTATGTTGGCTCATCAAAAATATGTCCGAATTCCTACATTAGGGTGATGGAGGTTCATGATCGTTCCAACATTTGTTTTATAAGAAACTATGATGGAAACATCTAATGGTTCAACATGAAAAAACCATCAAAACAAGTTGCTATTCTTATGTTGGGCCATCATAAGTCGGTCCGAATTCCTACATTGGGGTGATGGTTACTTATGTTGGTTACATTAAAAATATAATGGATCATGATGGAATTATTGATGGTCACCATCAAGATTACGTTGGTCCATCAATGGAAAACCATAAAAAGTTTTGACTTGGGCTACTTTGCTTTTCACTTGGTAAAAAAGTAATAGATTTTTACTGGTATTTCCCGTTAAATGAATTTTCCATTTATTTAACCGACAATTGGTATTTATAATAAAACAACTTGATATTTGCAAGAGATTGTTGTTAAGTAAACATTATTTTATTTTAAAAAAATTATAGTCACAAAATATTGTCAGCATGAGATGAAGAATACATCATTATTCAACTTGAAATAATTTATGTGGTTTATTATAACTTATTCTATCGAGAAATAAAGGATGAAGCTTATTAATAGCACGCATTACTTGATAGATTAATATTCTAATATTGGTAAATCAGTACGCCCTATCGTCGAATGATGGGTGTTATTGGTTCATCAATACCAAACATCTTTAGATAGTTGACCTTCATAGTTCTAAAACAACATTTCATGATGGAATTAGTTGGTCAAAGAATTTCTAACACAACATGTTGGTTGACCATCATATGGTAAAATAACTGTTTATTGGCCCATCAAATTCCATTACCACGTGATCAGAATTGTTGAATGATGGTTACCATCAAATAGTGTTGGGCCATCAAGAAACTAACATAAACCTTCAAAATATCTTGATGGTCCCATCAAGAGTCTTGTCTTGGGGACACACACTAACCAAAACACAATAAATTGGAAACAACACCGTTATAAATTATGAGCTACTTAAACAGCCGTACATTATTAAATTTATTACTCTACAAAAGTTTCAATTGGCTGTACACACCTGATAAGAATAGGTGATGGTCATGCCACTAAGAAGATCTTCTTGGCCAAGTCAGCTGGCTCTCGAAAAAGAGGAAGGACAAAACTTAGGTGGATTGATTGTCTAGAAAAAAGACCTTAAAACTACTAGGATAACTAACTGGAAAAGCTTACGCAAGAACAGGACGGCGTGGAATGGAACTTAGATGAAGGTCAATACTCAACGGAGGCTGTCATTCTAGTGCAGGAGAAGAAGTCACATCAAGCCAAATTTTGCGTCATATTAAGCAATAATTTTGTTAAAAATGATGTCACTTTTTATAGATGTGGTCATTGATAAGTCAAGCATAAGTGACTGTACAATTGACAATATTAAAGTATAACAATTAAATGTATCATAAATAGCGGATACCAAACTCAAATAGAGTTGAGTAATCAGATTTTGGTTTATGAGAAAGTATTAAGTACACTTTTAACCTTATAATTTTCATCCATAACATGTTCTTTCTATGTACAGTGCAAATATATATATATATATGTTACTGTGAAACACCGAAATCTGGAGAATACCGACATTCACCGGTGAATGTCAACATTCTCGTAGCCGCTTGGTGTATGTCCGAAATATTTGCTAAATACCCTTATTTCTGACTCTCACAGGTGAACGTTAACAATCACATAGTCGCTTTGGTGAATGTCCGAAATATTTGTTATATCCAATTTTGTATTAATTTATTCGTTGATATTATTATATTTATTT